ATACGCAGCCAGAATACAACCCCCAAGGCAGGGCCAGGGACCCACAGCCCAGCTCCACGGTTTGAGCCGGGGTGGGGACCTGGAACTGGAGCCGAGAGGTGGAGCCGGCATCGGGGGCAAGCCCAGAACAGGACTGAAGCGAGGCAGGAGAAAGAGCAACCCCATGCTGAGCACCCCATGAGCTGCTGCCCTCAGCCAGCCAGGTGTCCTACCATACCCCAGCTGACCCCATTCCTCCGCCCAACAAGCCCCACCTGCTTGGTTAGGGTTACTAGGTGTCCGGTACTGGTACAGTCTGGATGCATTCACACAGCTGAGAGACCCCAGTGCACCAGGGTTAGACAGTGCAGCGCAGACACCCCAAGGGGGAAATTACAGAGGTGTTTACATTTCGGCAGGCTCGTCCAATGGTCAGCCTCGTCCGAACGGAGCATCCAGAGCACGTCACGCGCGCGACGGGCAAGCCTCGCCGTCTCAGTCAGACATTTCGTGCCACAGCAAAGAGCTCGCCTCAAGCCTGGGACAGAAAAGCAACCTGAACCAGCAGGCCGCCCAGCGTGTGAGCCCGGGAAGAGCCATGTGCATCGCTCTCTGGTTTGAGCTCGTGACAACGAAGAGCTTAGAAATGCCAGCGACAGTTCCTGCTCCTAGACAAACGGGAGCCCCCGCACACCTGTCCCGGCCAGGGCTGGACCGCGTGGCCAGGCACCACAAGCAGAGTAACTCAATCGTCATTGTATTTCCCAGGGTGTTGGAAAAGATCTACCAGACTCGGAGCAGCCTGGGCGGTGGAAGGTCTGCTCTGGCGATCTGAATACAGCTTAGCTCACTCCGCTCTTTCCAGTCCCATCAGTGGCTTGGTATTTCAATGTAGCAGGTGATGCGACGCCAGCCAATACTCTCTTGCACCCAAGAGGCAGGTTTTCTTCCAGTGCACGGCAGGCTGGCCCAAGCCTGTTCCTAATTAGCAGGGGAACATGCAGTTCAGTAAGGAGGGATGGGGAATTTCCCCCTCCTTCCTGTGAACTCGTTGAAGACAACACCCCTGCCCTCTGGCGCTGGAAGGTGGTGCTTGTAGCTAACAACGCGGACAGATAATTGATGAGAAATCTGAGCTTTTGACTTACAGGTAATTGCTAGTCTGCTTGGTGCCGTACGCTCGGTTTCATGGCATGTGGCTCCCATTTGGGGGACATGAAGAAGTCTCCATCCCCTCCCTCTTTACCAGCCCTTAGCGCGTCCATTGCACTTTTCACCTCTTGATCTCACAGCACCTTAGTGCAAGGCGTGCACCCCCATTTGAGAAGTGGAGAAACGGTGCGACAGGGAGGTGCCATCAAGGTCTCCTGACTCCCGTTCTTGGGCTGCACCGAGAATCAACTGTTTCAAGAGGATCGCAAAGAACTGGAGACGGGGTTGTGACCGAACAATCCCTCGGAGATGTGCGGGATTCCTAAAAACCAAAAAGCCCAACTCTGTGCAATGCCCGGATGCCCTTGGCCTGGCTCGAACAGTGCACAGAATAGCGTTCCGCTGACTGTGAACGGGCCCCTTGGATTAGAACCGGAAACGCACGCTGTGGGAGCATGATACAGCCCTCGCTGCTTTCTGCAAGAAGAGAGGCTTTCCTTGTTCTCCTGGCTAAGATCTTCTCTCCCCGTTACCCCCCAAAGGGAAACGGATCTGAACCCTCTGCCCCAGGAGGTCCCACCTGGCCAGGAGGCCGACATGCCCACAGGGGTTCGGCTATTTTGCCATGGTGGCATAGCAGTCATGGAGGTGGGCACTTACTTAGCTGGAATGTGGAGCCAGATACGGGCACAACGGGGCTGCCTGTGAAAGAAGGCATTGGGTCCAGGCGATCTCTTCCTGTCCTATGTCCATGTTTGGCTCAGAGACATTCCCAAGGCCACCTTGGTTGGGTTCCCCCGGAGCACAGAGCAGGGATCTCCTGCTGCTTTCAGGGAACCCTTCAGCAGGGATGGCCTTCAGTCCCTCCTGGCTTCTCTCCCGGGGCCCCCTGCTCTCCCCTAGGGCCTGGTTTGGAACACTCGTAGTTGTGATGGGCGAGGTATCTGCAGACAAACACGCAGCTCCCGGATCCTTCACCTGGGTTTTGAATGGGGATGCCTGCTCTCCGCCAAGTGCAGAGGGGAACATCCCGTATCGCTGCCGAACCCCTGCCTGCCTGCACCCGACAGCTAAGCGAGCCAGCAGCCACCTAGCGCTGTGTGTGCGACAGAGGAGGGAAAGTGGAATCTTACTCATCCGGGCAGGGGCAGGCATGTTTCCAGTAGCCCTTGGGCAGACACGTCCCTGCCTCTGCCTTGGGAACCAGCCCTGGGAAGGGAGAGTCAGAAACGCCAGGGGTGCACTTACGCTGCTCTCACTGGAAGCGGGGCTGGGGGCCAAAGGCGGAGTTGCCCTGGGATGGAGGTCTGTCGGGGGGCAGGTTGGGATGGGTCAGGAGACCTCAGGATCTGGACACGGCCGGACTCTGGCACTGGGCCGGGTGAGGATTGGGGCCTTTGATTCTGTCAGAAGGAAGTGCTGGTCTCGCCCGTCGCTGGCTGCAGGCCAAGCTGGTGCCTTGGAAAGGGGTAAATGCCGCTTTGTGGTTTGACAGGAGCATCTCGAGAGATGAGGGTTGGCTCTGTCTCACGCTGTCACTTCAGTTACGGGAGTCACTAGCCACACGTCCCCGTGGTCCCCAGGCATGCTCCGGGCAAGTGGGAAGCCATCTGCTTCCAGCCTGCCAGCCTCACTCTGTGTCAGAGGGCGCCAAACAGGAAGCAGAGGGCTTCTGGGACCAAGGAGAGAGGCAGGAACATGGTCCAGCCGGTGGGAGGAGAAGGTCGCTGGTTGAGGGAGGAGAAAGGGTGGAAGGGTGGCCCACAGGTTACGGAGCTAGTCTGATAAACAGGACTCTAAGACAGTCTTCCCCGGAGAGCTGGGAAGAGTCCCTTAACTTGCTGAGCCTCAATTCTCCCATCTGTTCAATGGGTGTAACAGCACTGCCCTGCCTCATGGGCCGTTGAGGGTAAATGAATAAAAGATTGTGAGGCGCTCGGGTACCGTGGTAACAAAGCCCTGTAGCTACTCCACAGGGAGAGAGAAACACACATGCAGTTCCATACACTTTGGGCCTACCAAGGATGTTCACAGATAATTTCTATATAACATCCTAGATGCCCGTGAATATTAGTCTGTGCACTATTGCCTTCAGACTGTGTGGATACACAATTACAGAGGGGGCTGGCCTCAGAGCCACGGTTAGATTGTACTGATACTTCCATTCAACCACAGAACAATCAGCATGAAGAGGAGTAAGATTGTTCTAACGGCAGGCAGTTAACATTGGAAGGGGCTAAAATGGCTCAACGTGTTTTATTTGATTGTAATCACTTCTAATCTTAACATGTACATTCGACACACACCGTAACTGGATAGGGAAGCTGAAAATTAACGTTCAGACTTCCAAGTGACCAACCAGCTCTATATTTAGAGTCTCTTGCTTTGTCAGCTGTCTCAGGTTGTACCAAGCTAGGGATGGATGGGTTGGAAGGTACGTGACACATCAAATGTCAACACTAAATGACTAATTGTGAAATTATGGTGACTCAGCGCCTGCGGGGCTTGTTGGTCGGCTGCCACATTCCCAAGCCTTGCAGGAGAGAACCCTTCTCGACTCCTGCTATCGCTTGCCACCTCTTTGCAGTTACTTCCTGTTTATCAGTCGGCTGTTCTGTCACGCCAAAGGGTTATCCATGGAGAAAGTGTCATGGAAAATATTTAACATCCAGTACTTCCACGACATTGAATAAATGGCTCCATTCTATTCACCCCAATAAATGATGCAAGGGGATACTGTGTCTGGTGTCATGGGACCCCAGAAATGTTATCATGAATGCATTAACCACAACCAGCTTCTGCAGAGATTTTAATTAGTACATCTAAAAGTGCTTTACAAAGGATGTCAGTGTAATTATCCTCATTTTACACTTGGGGAAACTGAGGCACAGTGCGGTGAAGACTTGCCCAAGGCATAGTCCGTCTCATGCCAGAAGCAATGGGTGAGTGGCTGGTAAAGATCATTATGCTGAAGAAATGACATATTCATCTTCCGATGGTGTTGGTTCTCACCAAATATAGAATGGCTTCATTACAATCAGTGTGTCTTGTTTTGTAGCCTGTTACACAGGCCCCAAGGCTGCCTTGCAGTGCTCCCTCTAGTTTTTTCCATCCATGTGTGGAATAAATTTTGTTATGCGCACTGAGGCCAGTGTGGCTGTGTACCAATAGTAGAAACACACGCTAGCAGAGCACTCACCACTGGCAATCAGCTGGGCAGCGTTTGAATCTCTCTTGGGTGGCTGCCCAAGCGTTTAGCTTACAGGGAAGACTGCTGCTCTGGGAGGATTCTCCTACGCAAACAATGCCAAGCAAGGCGTGTAAAATGACTCTGCCCCAGCAACTGTCTGTGTGGTTTTCTGGACACTCTCCTTGGTCCCTCTGCCACCCCAGGCCTTCTCCTGTGCCAAGAGGAAGTGCAAAAGTGCACCACAGTTTAAGTGCAGCGCAGGAAGTGAAGAGGAGCAGTGCACCCAATTGAAATTGCAAGTCATGCTTAGGACATCGGTGATGGAATTTGCCCAGGACACTGCAGTTAACGATGCTACCCTTGCAAAAAACTTGCCACTTTAATGAAACTGGCCTGTTTCAGTCTTCCAGCAGCACGTTGGCCTCCAACACCACCTTAGAGCACCCCTTAATAGTAACTCTGAAAACACACGTAGGAGTTTTTTGGTGAGCTCCCCTCCAAACACCAACCTAGACTAGCCTACATAGCTTGTGAAATCTGACAGCCTCCCTGCAGAAGGAGGTCTGAGTACAGGGAAAACAGATACAGCTGCAAGTCTGCTGGCAGGGGGCAAGCCAATGAATTTGGACCAGACCCATGTTAACTATTACAATGCAAAGCAATCACCTTGCATACTTACTTGCCGTTCCCGTATTTTATTCGGATGTCCTTGCTCTTCTTCAGTTCTTTGCCATCTTTATACCACTTGTAAGAGGGCTGGGGATTCCCCGCAGTAGCCTCACACTTCAGCGAAATCTTTTCCCCCACGTGAACGTTTGGGCTCTTCAGTTTCTTCAGTTTCGGAGGAACCGCTGGGAAGAGAGAAATCAGACCAGTGTGAAAACCTGCTTCTGTAAGGGGCACAGTGCAAGACAGGGTTAACTTCCCCAGCTGACGCTTACTGATAACCAGTTAACCAGCAGCCTCGTCAGGTGTCAGTTAGCCAGCGGCCTAGCCGGGTGTTGATTAGCCAGGGGCCTCGCCAGTGGTTAACTGGTTAAATGTAATGTTTAACTGGTTACCTGACTAAACAGGATTTACATCCCTAGTGCAAGGTAAGTTATACAGTCAAGTTTCCCTCTGTACAATCTGGAGATGGACTCGTAGCAGCAGAAGAGCTAAGAGCATTAGCTCTTCTGCTGCTAACAGGGGAAGGTTGAAACAAGCGCTGGTACAGGTGGTCAACACTACAGTCACACAGGGCTCCTACAATGAAAGCCCCACCTGTGCAAACAGCTAAGAGAGGAGGCCTTGGGCCACAGCTGGAGGTACAGAATCACAGAATCATAGCACTTGACGGTACCTCGAGAGGTCCTTGAGACCAGTCCCCTGCCCTCACGGCAGGACCAAGCACCAGCTAGACATCACGGCAAAAGAGCTTTCCAGTGAGGGGAGGAAACTATAAAAGAGGGAGAGTGACATCGTCACTTGGCCTCACTCCCCTCCCACCTCCACACCTGGAGCAGTCTGGAGAACAAAGCCTGGGAAGGAAGGCGCTCCCAGGCCAGGAGAGAGTCTCCGCCTGCACACCGAGGATTTGTGACTTCTTCTACCATCCGTCAGGGGTCAGATGTCGCTTGATTCAAATCCTGTTTAGTTTGTAGAACTTAGACTGGGGGGTTATTTTCTGCTTCTTAAGTAACCAACTCTGAGCTCTGTGCCTGCTACTTAGAATCACTTAAACTCTGCACTTCTGTGGTTAATAAACTTGTTTTATATTCTGCTTCAAACAGAGCTGAGTGGGCGAGATCTTTACAAACCCCTAGGAAGTGGAACACCCAGACAGGTCGACTTCTAGTCTGAGACCGGCCTCTGAGCGTTACCTTTATTAGACGCTTCAGAGAAGGGAAATAAACTTATTAACTATGCACTCAGAAAATTGGATAAGGTTAACACTTAACGCACCACCCATTCTCTCTGGAAATGTCCTTTTTTAAACTTTGCCTTTTAAAAGAAAGTCTTTGCTTTTTAAAAGAAAGTGCATTTTTAATTGTCTTTAAATCCTGCAGCAGTGAATTCCACTTGTTAATTGTATGTCATAGATAAAGTATTTCCACAATGTAATATATATTTATTGCCTTTTCATTTCACTGTGCACTCTGTCCTTGTGATATGGGACAGCAATTGGAGGCAGAAAATCAGCTGGACTTCATTATACTAGTCATCATTTTACAAACCTCTTGTTATATTTCCTCTCATTTGTCTTGCCAAGATAAATAATCCTTGACTCTTGGGGATTTTTAAATACTCTCTTTACTGACGATTTTTATATCCAAAAGAAAAGAGGCCAAGTAATAACACTAGCCAAGACATATGCTCAATGTACTGAAAAGTCTATAGATTCTCCTGGAAGGCACAGTTTTAAATCTTGCCTACATGCCTGGGGAAGGAAGTTTTGTGTTTTTTTATGCAGGCCTACACCAAACAGCTGACTCAAGCTTGATCAAACTTTAAAAACCCTTCAGCTCTGGATGGAGACGGGACACTCCAGCCCCGGAGAATTAGCTGGAGAAAGCAGCGGGTGGCCGCTGTCTCTGGAGATTGGAGGCAGCCCCCGGGCGAAGGCTGCAGAGAAGCGAATGGGACAGGGAGCAGACCAGATCCCCAGCTGGTATAAACCGGTGCAGTCAGTGCAGGTAGCTAGTGTAAATCGGTTTGAGGCTCTGGCCCAGTGTGCCCAGCAACACAAGAAAACACGTGCCGGAGGAAAGGAAGGGAAAGGGAGCAGGCGGGGAAAGGTCCATCTACACTACAGCCTCCTTTCAGCAGTACACAGAGCACATCCGCCACACGCCCCCAGTAGGGGCATAAATAGCAGTGTGGACAGTGCAGCACTGCTGAGGCACGGAGAGACACGCCACAGCCCTGGGGATATGGACCCTATGCAGTTCTGTGCCTGCCCATGTCTACCCGGCTGCTTTTAGCAACACCAGGTCCTGCTACAGGAATGTCTCCCGTCCAGGAAAGCTCCGGCTGCAAGGAAAGACCCTGGCAGCTCCCTGCTGAGGAAGCCTGGTGTGGACACAGCCTGCTTTTCCCTGCGGCACATGGCTCCCCACAGACGCCCTCTGGGCCACGCTGCCGCAAGGAGCCAGGCAGGGTAGCTGCAGCCAAAGAAACAAGTGCAGGGGGAGAGTGTGAGAACCATGCCACTGGGAGGGGGGATACAGGGAGAGCCGTCCTTCCCCATATGCAGAATAAGCATAGGCATGAAGACCCAGGGGTGCCCTATAGGCACCGCTGGGTCTTCCTGTCCATCCACCTGCCTCTTTCTATCCCTGTTCTGTTCTTTCTATCCCTGTTCTGTTGCAGCTTCTATTCTCTTGGAATTCACACCTCCAGATCAGCTGCTAGAAGTGGGCCTCATCCTCCTTGATTGGATCCACCTGGTCACCTCCAGCCTGATCCTGGCCTGCATATTTATACCTGCCTCTGGAAATTTCCACTACATGCATCTGACGAAGTGGGTCTTTGCCCACGAAAGCTTATGCTCCTACACTTCAGTTAGTCTATAAGGTGCCACAGGACTCCTCGTCGCTTTTGCAGATTCAGACTAACACGGCTACCCCTCTGATACTTGACTATCCCTGTTCTGTGGCTCTACGGGGAGGAGCTAGTTAACTTAAAAGTGAAGGAACCTGCCCGAGCGACCAGCAGAACATCCAGCCTGTGCCCGCGCCATTCAAATGGTATTGAAGCTATTTCACGAGGCTCTTGCCCGCGCCGGTGCGTTTCTGCCTTGACTGCGTCAGGCCGCGGGATCGGCACGTAAAACTGAATTTCCAATACGGCCTCCATGCCTGGCCAAAGATGATAAAATCCCTTCTCTAAAAAAATCATTATCCCCCGCCCTTCTGGGTGGCCATCGGGCATAGGGGCACGGCCTAGGGCTCCCCAAATCCTAGGGACCGCCCGCAGTGGCAGGGCATTAGTAAGTGCTCTGTGCTTCTTCCTTAAAGAGATTAAGTGCGGGGAATGTTTCCTGGTCACTATAACTACGTGGGAGCATTCACGGTAGTGGAGTTGGAAAATCATGCGCGGCAGAGGAGGTCTAAGGATATGTCTACACTGCCAGGTTATTCCAGGATACCGGAAGTATCCCGAAATAGCTACCCCGCATACAAGGAATGCGTCCGCTAAAATAATTTTCGACATAACAGACATGCTATTTCGGCATCGCTGTAAACATCGTTCCACGAGGAATAAGGGATGTCTCGAAATAGGTCAATCTCATTTGTAAGCGTAGGCCAAGCCCTAGATTTGTAAGCTCTATGGAGCAAGGGCAGTATCTTGGCTTGGGAGGCACCAAGATTTTGGGGTGTTTTCACATTACCAACACGTGTGAAAATAGAGCCGAGGCCCTATCCAAGGGACGTTATCAATGCCTGTATTATTGTGACATGCAATTTGTAATTGTGGCTTGTGTGCTTAGGCCCTGTGATGGTGTTGCTTTTGTGGGGGTGTGGACTGAGTTGGCCAAGGGTTTATTGTGGGGGTGGGTTCTTGGGTGAGTGTGTCTGAAGTGTGACGTGTGGCTGCTGGAAAGAATTTGCTTTAGGTTAGAGGGTTGACTGTAGGCGAGAACTGGCCTGTCTCCCAAGGCCTGTGAGAGCGAGGGAGGGTTTTCCAGGACAGACTGCCTGTGATGCGCTGGAGGAGCTGTAGGTGATGACTAGTGCTGATCTGTTGTTTTCCTTGTTGGGCCTGACTTGAAGACGCAGATTCCTGGGTACTCATCTGGCTCTGTCAGTCTGTTCCTCACTTCCCCAGGTGGGTATGTAAGTTTTCAGAATGCCTGGTCGAGATCCGGTAGGTGTTGGTCTCTGTCTATGGGAGCAAATCCGGTTGTATCTTAAGCCTGGCTGTAAACAATGGACCATGTGATGTGTCCTGGAGGGCAGGTAGATGCATGTGGGTAAGAATAATGATCAGTAGGTTTCCAGTATAGGGCGATGGCAATGGGGTCGCCTTTTAGTCTTTTGAACAACCAGAACTCACATCCCATCTGCCCCCAGAGAGGATACACACAACCCCAGCCCACAACACTACCTAAACTTTGCATTTACTACAATGGACCCTAGAGATACTTAAACTTCATTCAGTTGGGTTTTTCCAAGGATAGTGCAGAAAATTTGCCAGATCTGTAAGAGGCCAATATGGCTCCATCATGAGTCCTTTTATGACCTGAAAATAATAATAAAAAAATCCTACAAAAAGGGAAAATACGGACAAATTGCTACGGCGGAGTACAACAGAACACCACAAGCGTGGAGCGACAAACTCTGAAGGACTCAGGCACAAAATTAGTTACACCTTCCAATGCACGTAAAAAGGGAATAAGAAGAGGTTCTAGAAAGAAATTAGGAGCAAAAGGCAGAGGAAGGAAAGTGAAGCTCCTCCATTTAGCGGGGAAGGCAGGCTAATAATGGGCAGCATCAAGAACGCTGAGGTGTTTAATGCCTATTTTACTTCAATAACACAATTAATATCAACAACCAGGGGAAGGAGAAAACCAAACTAGGAAAGAGCATGTTAAAGAATCTTTCGCTACGTATTCAAGTTTGCAGGGACCGATGAAATTCATCCTAGGATACTTAAGGAACTAGCTGAAACAATCTCTGAACCATTAGCAATTCTCTTGGAGAATTTACAGCGGATGAGTGCAATCCCAAAGAACCGGGGAAGAGCAAACATACTTATCGTTTTAAAAAGAGGGAAAAAAGGACTTGGGGATTTATAGACCAATCAGCCTACCTTCTATAGCTGGAAAGATAATGGAACAAATTAGTAAGCAGCCAATTTGTAAGTATCT